TAGGGAAAGTAAAAGATTGGGACTCAGGAGATCTCTGCTCTTTTTCCATCTCTGCCCCTGGCTGGCTGGGCAGCTTTGGGCAAGTAACTTCCCTTGTCTGCATCCCAGCTTTTCTCCTCTGTAAAACTGGGGTAAGAATACTGCCCTCTGGAAAGTGCTTTTGAGGTCTATGATGACAACTCTGTATTGGAGAAGCATGATTATTATACAAGTCCCATGGAAGACATATAGGAAACACCTGATGTCTGAGTGAATACAGCACGCAAAGTGAATTTGGATAATATGGGGTTTAGTTAACAAACCACATGGAGGCATGAAACCTTGACCCCTTCACGTCATAAGAATTGCCATGTGCTAGGTCAGACCATAGGTCCGTCTTTTCCAATATCTCATGTCACACTGTGGCAGAAAGTCATAGTCATAAAAAATTCAGGTGGAAGGGAGCTCAGGAGGTCACATCCAGTCCAACCCCCTGCTCCAAGCAGGACCAGCCCCAACTACATCATCCCAGCCAAGGCTTTGTCTACCCGGGTCTTCAACACCTCCAAGGATGGAGACTGCACCACCTCTCCAGGTAACCCGTTCCAGTATTTCACCACCCTCTGAATGAGAGAGTTTTTCCTAATATCCAACCTAAACTTCCCTTGCTGCAAGTCAATGGCAAAGCTGCTGGGGCCAGGACTTCAACTTGCATCTCTAGGGATCGGTGACTAATGTTGTTCCAAGGTCATTCTTGTTGAAGCTGCCAACAGACTTTGCAACATGAGCATGATCTAAAACCCATTGAAGACCATGAGAGATTTCCTGGTGTCTTCGCTAGCTTTAGATCGAGTCCTTGCTGCCAAATGAGTTCTTGCATGGATATGTGTACCACTGAGTTTTGATTTGGGACTGACACCTATCAATCTGCCTCATATGGAAACAGGTTCACTTCCTTCACTTGATGTAAAGCCAGGCCGGTGATGAAAAGCCAATGCAGCTATGCTGCTTTCCACCAGCCAGGGGTCTGATCCAACATCTCCCATTTATCTTGCCTTCTGCAAGGACTTGTGGTTTTGTGTCTAGACTTGTGTTTTCTCAGAGCTTTAATTGCTGGTGTTTTCCCTCTGAATTCAAGCAGCAGCTGAGCACTTGAGATCAGCCTTAAAAACCCTGCAGTGGCATGCCAGCATTTATATCTCAGGAAGGAAAAATATTTGTAACTCAAGCTGCCAAGTGTTTCGTTTCTTTGAAAGTCATATATTTGCAACTTATGAACTATACGTGGAGTTTGGAGGAATTAATGACAACTTCTGGCATACGCGCTTTTAGGCTCTCATCACGACTCTCCTAATAACTTGGTCCTGCTTTATATTGCATCCCAAAGAAGGAGTTATCTCCATCCCTTGTTTACAGTGACTTGACTAGTCTGCCTCATTGCTTGTACAAATATCATGCTGACATTTACTTTTTGTATCAGGGCTCCGCAAAGTTTCCCCAGAGGAGCTGGAGAAGTTCTGCATACTGTAGGAAGTGATGCAGGAATGGCGAGGAGGGTGACTTGGATGTCCTTTTGCAAATGGGTCTTTTCCATCTCTGGCTTCCATGATTTATTACCCGTTTATTCGGAGAAATGTGTTTACTTGTGGAAGGACGGTAGTTGCTTGGACTATGTGAATGAATGGCAGTGGGGATAGGGAGGTATCTGTAGGCAGCCTACAAAGATTGGGACCAAACTGAAACCCCTGAGCATTAATTTGGAAAGAATACATGCCTATTCCTTTCTCTCTGGGTGTTAAAAAGCAGGAGATAGGGCAGTGCAATGGGAATCAGAAAAGCTGGATGCCACTCCAGGGTCTGCCACTGCCCTTTTCTATAGACTTTGTCCAGTCACTTTACCTCTGACTGATTTCTTCTGATTATCAGCTCTTCCTGAATGTCGTTTTGTGTTTGTACAGCACCTTGCGCTGGCTGGAGCATCTAGACTCTACTGTAATAACATGGCTGAACACTTTTATTTATATCTGTGGTAAGTTAAGCATCAAGGACAAAGCTGTACCAGTCCCACCAGGCATGTCATACCAGGAGAGGAAAAGATATGACATGGCTCATCAAAAAGGAATTTCACTTATTTTAATTTCTGAAAATACCATTTAAATTCAGGCCCAGACTTACATTCAGAACCAATAGATACACATAGAACAGCTTTTCAGGACTTCACAATCATTGTCATTTACATAGTAATGAAGTGATGAGATTACATTTTATAAGCAACTTGCTTTAGAATGTAAAAAGTACTATGAAGGATTTTTTTTATCATTATTTCATATTCATCCCCTTATGGTCTTCCTTTTCTCAATTTTTTTTTTTTTTTTGCAATTTTTTGCTTGAAATGTATTGACGCCCTCCTTGAATAGTAACTTCCGATTCTCTTCATCAGGTTAATTACAGCAAAACAATGCAGATGGACTAAGCAGCATTTCAAAACCGCGGGCATGTACATTGTCCCAGATCAGGGCTATGACCTGGGTTACGCTGAAAACTGCGCCTGAAGAAATGGTGCTTTTTTTCTTTTTTTTTTTAATGGGACATATCACTGACGACACTTTCAAGCACAGGTTGGGCCAAATTGACCAACGTTGACTGTATAATCCATTAATTTGCCTATTGGATAATTTGCCATTGTTCTGATTTCCTCTCCGCCGCCTCCTTTCTCAGCCATCCCTCAACTCCTGGTCGCTATTGGCTATTCTGCCATTATTTGCATGCCCCTCGGCCTGGTGAAATAACCCGAGTTTACGGTACTTTTGGCTTCGGGCGGATCGTGGCAATATAAAGTAACCATCCACTCAACGTATCAAGATGGTTTAAACAGGTTTTTGCAGAATGTTGCTCACCCTCCTTCCCCGAGACCAGCACAAAATAGGCAGACTATATCAGTAAACCCATTCCCGAGTACATGAAAAAAGAAAGGAGTTGCATAAGTTCACCGGTGTCGGCTACGTTGCCGTAAGCGTTCCACAAAACCCGATCTCATCCATAATACCTTTACCTAGGAGAGGGGGGGGAAAAAAACTATGTACATTTGTTTGAGCTGCTGAGTCGGAGGATGTCAGTTGTACCAAGATATTATCACTGGTTTTTAATCTCCCCAGTTTTCCACCTCTACAAGTTATTTACGGGGGGTTTTTTCCTCTCTAAGCTGTAGCCTTACACCTTACTTGTTTGCATGTGTCCATTGAACTCTATATTTCTCTGGGTTAGCATCGATTCTTGCAAACGGCTGCTGTTTTCCTGCCTGTGCTCAATCGGGTCTCCGTCTTCGATGCCGTTCCCCTTCCGGAGGCACAGGACTTTCTGAAAACTCTGCTTGAAGTTGTCGGAGAGAAATCCATAAAGGATGGGGTTGGCGCAGCTGTTGGCATAAGACAAAACCACCACAAAGAAGTAAACGCCGAGCAACACCGGGTCCTCTGGCAATATGAATATCAAATTGACGATGTTCAGGATGTAAAACGGCAGCCAGCAAAACACAAAGACGACCACGATGATGACGACCATGCGGGTTACTTTCCTCTCCGAGCGCCTGCGCCTCGTGGACCCAACTCGGATGCCAGAGGACTTGACTTTAATCACAATCAGCAGGTAGCAGAGGCAGATCACAAGCAGGGGGCCAAAAAACCCTAAGACCGACGTGTAAATGATGAAGGCTGCTGACCAAATGTTGACGGGGTCTGGCCAGTTCATGTTGCAGGTCTGAAAGTCTTCCTGGACATCTGAATATATAATGACTGGAAGCACCACCAAGATGGAGAAAGTCCAGACGGTTATACTGATCAGCTTGGCCACCCTGGGACGTCGCCACTTGGTAGACTTGATAGGATGAACCACGGCAAGATAGCGGTCCATGCTCATGACCGTTAAGCAAAAGATACTGGTGAACTGATTAATGCCATCTGCAGTCATCACCAGCCGGCATAAAAAGGATCCAAAGGGCCAGTAGGAGATGGCGTTCTGAGTTGCCAAGAATGGCAAACCAAGCATAAAGAGTACATCAGCTACTGCTAAATTCAAGATGTAAATGTTGGTGACGGTTTTCATTTTGGCGTAACGCAGAACCACATAAATGACCAGTGTGTTCCCACTGAGTCCAATTGCACATACAAGGAGGTAAATGATGGGAATCAGGACTTTGTGGATGTCTTTGGAGGGGGGCAGCGTGGCCAAGGTTTCGTTCTCTGTCACATTGTTCAGCAACGAGAAGTTCATATCTTGGGAGCTGGTTTCCATGTCAAAAGCACTGGGGTAATAAAGAGCATCCATTTTTTTCCTTCCCTAATTTTCTTTCGGTCTAAGGAAGATTAAAAGTCACCAACGTCTTGTGCCTGAAAAAGAAAGGGAGAAAGAGAGAAGAACAAATTAAAAGCTCATTTTTACAAGTTGCGCATGCAAAGGGTTCTACCCAGAAGTCGTATCTATATTAAGTAGCGGCCACGTGCATTGCTCAGTGTACCTTAAATATCAGCAATATATATGATTATCAGCAATTGTCTGATTGTATCATATATTTATGATTCACATCATGTATTTATGATTTCTATCATAAATATAAGCAGCGATCATCTTTGTATCAAGCAAGTGTTGCATTCCCACACTCCATCCCCAATACCTAATAATAGAAGGACCCCCAAATTGCAGCAGACCAACTGTCTGCCACTGTAGATACGGGCAAGTTGAGGTTTTGCTCTTGGGATCCGTTTGTAAGGGACTACACCACAAAATCAGAGAGAGGAAAATTCAGAGGAACGTTAAAAACTTCACAGTTCAAAGTGATTTGGAGCCGTCTGTACTCTAACATCCAAAAAAGCAAGAGCTGTTATTGTAGGAGGATGTATCCATCATTTTTAGTAATGTTATGCTGGTAGGTTGGTACTGGGCATTTCTACATGAGATGTTTAATGCACATTAGCCTAATAACACTGCGCTGGGCAAAAACCGTGCTAATACACTACTGCGCGGTCCTATTAGGCTACTACAGTTAGCAGGATGAAAAAACCCATGCGCCGGCGCTACTGTGCAATAACTCTAGTTACTGCTCATTTAGTTAGTACTTCATTAAGTAACTACTAAATTAAATGTGCAGTAATTACTGTGCATTAATGAACGTGTAGATGCACCCACTATGGACCGCTGTCACCCAAGAAAGCCCTGCCAATCGGGAATATTACTTTCTGTGAGTCATTATGGCACACCCTGGGAAGATTGTGTTACCCAAAATGATACTGCAACCCATCTATCTCCCTCACATTTTGTGCTTCATACCCTTCCTGAGACCAATATTTGAGGTCATTTTTTGTTGTTGTTTTTTTTTTTTTTTTTTTTTTTTTTTTCCCACACCCCCCCCCCCCCCCCCAACTCGATCTTCAATTAAAAGAGATTAGGCATTGATGTGGGGCCAGACTTGGAACGACTTTTAGCAACAAAGGTGTCACAATCAAAGCTTTTGAAAAATGCAACATCTGCCATAGGCGTTCAGTGACTTTTAAAGTCTGATCCTGGGCTCTTTTACTATAATCCGGCCCTTAAAAACCAGGCATGAATCTATTCTGAGTATATGTGAAAGGAAACCGCCAGTCGAAGTGCCTTGGGGCACAAGGCTGGTTTTAAAATCCGGAGCCAAACCTAGATTTCCATTCTGCATTTGAGGCTTTTTCCGCTGAAATCTCTCCCAGGTCTGCCAGCTGACAGAGAAGCAATCTGAGCTGATAGATTCACACACCGCTCACAGTCTGGCAGACCCCTTTGAAAACCCATGGGAAACATCAGCATCTGTGTAGGTGTGGAAAACAAAACTCTCCACGATAAGCAGCAAAACCTGAGCAAAAAATGCTGTGATACCTATAATGGAAGCACCCTTGTGTTAGGACGTGGAAGACGGGATGAGACAAAACATACGTCACAATTGCAAAGACGCCTCCTGTGCTGAATAACAGGAGATCAGCTTTTGTCCTTGGTAAATGCTACGTTTCCATTAACCTTCCCCATCCGCTCTTTCTCCTTGGCCTCAAAATAGGAGGATTTGCATCTGGGAAACACTCTTTACAGACCCAAAGCTCAGACCTCCAAGGGTCTCCTACCCCAACGAGGAGGACTAGGAGTTAAGGTTCATTTGTCAAATGGCATAGAGGAAAGCTTGCAAACTGTGCCTGATGCACCAATTATTATATTGATTAGTGCATCCTTTGCATGCCCATTAAGTATCGATACCCTCCCTCCCTGCCGTCCCAATTATTAGAGAGGAGCGTACCGGGAAGGACAATACTCTGTGTAGAACTGTTAAACCCATAACGTTCAATTTTGCATTTACATGTATAACGTGATCAACCTCTCAGGCTGGTCATTTGACTCTCATCTTCCCCCCCACTGAATATAAATGGGGCCAGAAGGCAGTTTGCATAGGTCCAAATAGTAACCAGGTGTCTTTAGTCAATGCTCCCTGCTTGTGCCCTGAAAGTCATTCTCAAGACACCGTTCTTTACTCATTTTCAACCATCGTCTGCTTTATTGTGGACATTATTCTTTTTTTCTAAAGTGGAAATCTTACTTGCCTTCTACCAGGGAGATGTGTGCTAGTTTAGTTGCAGGGAAGCTGATCTAAAGAGTCTCCCAAGCATCTTCTGCATCCAATGAACCCCCCCAGCTTGCACTGAGTTGGCTGAACGCTTATGATATCTTGCTACAGCTTCCAAGGCATGCATTCAAGCCCTGCCGTGGGGCTGTGAGTAAAGGCCACCCCCAGCTGTCGGTGGGTGCCTGGTCGCTTAGGCTAGGAAGTCTCGAGTGGATGTCAGTGATGCAATGTACATAAATCCCTTTCTGTCCATAAATCCACCCTGTCTGCTGAATGGGCAGATCCTTGACTCTGCACTGAAACCTGAGCCAGACCAGCTGAGAAAATGTCTGGGGAAAAAAACAAAGCAAAAAACACCTTATTGTTCTATTGATTTAAAAAAATATGCATAACAGTAAAGGAGCTGCCATACCAGCTGAAACAAAACCCATTATTAAGTATGAAAGGAAAATTTGTCTCCTGCTTACAGACAGGCATTGCCTCCCACCTCCCAGCAAATAAAACACAACACGGGCAGCGGGGACATTAGTTCTGTGGACATGAACACTGCACATAAACCAAATGCAGTGCTGAGCCACTTGCTTTTCCAAATATTTGGATTTTAAACCATTACCGGGAAAGCAAAGTTGCTTCCTTCTACTCGCCAAACACCGGCCATGAACTGCAAACACCATCCTCAAAGAGTAAGCCAGTTGCTCCGGGTGTGTGATTTGGCATTAAGTGGGTCGAGACGGGATAAAAGGAGGCATGTTCTCTCACCCTGTTCCTCCCAAACAAATCCCTATCCTAGCATCTCTATTTGGGCCATCGCTGCCAAACTACGTGGAAGCACAGAAGAGCCAGCATTGCTGTTCATGGCCGGGGGCTGCCAACGAAAGCAATCGCTCACTACTCATCCACACCACTTAGAGGAGAACAAGCCGAGGCAAGGAGGGATGCTGTTGCCTTTTCTGAAGTTGGAGTCTGACAGATAAAGGGGTGCTTCGTGTTGTAACCCCAATTTGCCTCTTCAGGTACCATCCGGCACCTTGTGCTTGTGTGAACTGCCTTGAGGCTCAATGATAACATTGCCTCTCTCCTCTTGGGGATGTTCTGGCATGCAAAATCGCAGAGTTTCATCTTATACTGCTGCACAGAGCCCCTCACCAAGGGGCACTGCCCTTTTAGGGAAGCTGGAATAGATGCACCCATACAGTACATGTGCCCCTCGCCCCTCTGCATGGCCGCAGGCAGCAGCGTCACATGTGGGACCCATTTCATGACCATGCAGATGTTTGTCGTCGTATTTCTGCCTGCTCCAAAAGAGACCCCACTAATATCCCTTGCTCTGAACCCTGCTCACATAAGTTTGTGGTGGCCAAGTCAGCTCTGTAGTGGCTTTACTTCCCTTTGCATCTCATGAGTTACGCTTTCTTGGCCCGTATGCTCTGTGGGGAGGATCCATGTTCATTAGCACGGCTGACTCCACCGTTGGCCAAGGGCACTGATAAGATGCTCAGTGTTATGTCAGAGGCTGTTCCAAAGGGAGGAGGCTGCTTGCTTGCCTTAGCATGAAGTGGTTTGAAGATTGCACCTGAACTACATGCAGTATGGAAATGCTTCTTGGTTCTCTGCTAGTTGCCCACATTTCAATCATGGCCATCTCATGCCATCCCCCCATCTCCTTCTGGGAGCTCTGACTGAAACCCCCACATCTTTTCCAAAACTGCAAAAGTTAAGTACTAATTGAGAATGAGGCAATGATCTCTGGGCAGTGGCCTACTCCTATGGTGGCTCCAAAGAAGCAACCTCATAAGATGCTGAATTAACTGGAGCTCCTCAACCTCCTCCTCTTCCTGATGCATTCGATAGCTTGTCTAACTACACAGCTGCTGCAATAAAAGATACTGCCCTGAGAAATCCTTGCTCCTAGACTTTACTAATGTCACCCGCCATTGCACTGGGAGTGATCAGTTGTCCTCCAGAGAAGCTCTCTGCCCCAGCAAAACCATATCTGCTCGTTTCTTGGGGGTCCTGCTGCAGTACTTCCAATCCAGGAGAAGTTTTTCCCAGTCTAATGTCCTCCAGAGAAGAATGTGATAGATGATGCGTCTTGCTGCCTGAAATAACAGCTTCATCAGATAGATAGATAGATAGATAGATATACATATCTATCTATATCTATATCTATAGATAGATAGGTATAATTTCCTTATAGAGACCACTGCTCCTTTCCGGTCCACTGTTCTCCTCTTGCACAATGGACAAAGGGGTGCAAGCTTTGCAATGAGGTGCAATCGGTGAATAATCGTTGCCTTATAATATAATATGGCATGGTCAGCCAGAGTATAGGAGTCCAAGAAGGAGAAAGGGACGTTAGAAGCAGACCAGCATTGTCTGGCTGTCTGCTCTGCTCCAGGTCTGTGGACAGACACCGCATCAAACCAGCCTCACGCCTGCATTTCAAAGGGAGAAATGGAATAAGGCCTCGAGTGGCTACCCCAGTTGAATGGGGACTGGTCCAGTGAAGAAGCATGCAGGGCAATATGTGACAGAAGTGGACTTTCCTAGGGTCAAGCCACAAAAAAATGGCAACACCAAGAAGTAGACCTCTAAAACCCAAACAAAGCAAAATGGCCAGTGATTTTTTTTTTCCAGCTGTGGGAAAAAGGTTTCTGAGACAATAATTCAACACCAATTTGCAAGGGGAATGGTACG